TTTAAACATAATAATAATAATAATAATAATAATAATAATAATAATAATAATAATAATAATAATAATGCAGTAATGTAAAATTCCTATTTTATAAAATTTTGACTAATGAAATTCAGCATACCATATCTCATTTCTTTTTCACGAGTAAATACGGATTCAAGAAAGAAAAATCATGCAGTCAGTTTCATATTTAATTCGCATTCTCTAAAGCGGCTTTAATTTAATTTTAATCGAAGAACCCTATACCCCAATACGGCTTCACGTTTTAATCGAAGAATTGCATACCCTTCAAATTACCTATACGGCTTTAATGTAGTTTTAGTCGAAGAATCTAAAACTCCAATACGGCTTTATTTCATGTTTAGTTGAAAAATCTTATACTCAATTACGGCTATATTTCAGTTTTAGTTGAAGAATATCATCCTCCAGCACTGCTTCATTTTATATTTGTCGAAGAATCTCATATACTCAAAAACGATTTTATTTTATGTTTAGTCAAAGAATCTACATACACTTAAATACAGCTTTGATTCATGTTTGGTAGAAGAATCTCAAACTCAAGTACGAGTTTATTGTAGCGGTTTTTTTTAGGCAGTCGAAGATTACATATTTCAGTACGGATTTATTTCAGGTTTAGTCTAAGAATCTCATACTCAAACACGGCTATATTGTAGTTTTAGTCAAAGAATCTTATACTCAAAGAGGGCTTTATTGTAGGTTTTGTCAAATAATCTAATATTCCTTTAAGGATTCATTGTAAGTTTAGTCGAAGAATTTCATACTTAAATTGGCTTTGTCATAGTTCTAATCGAAGAATCTCATATTCCAGTACGGCTTTATTTTAGTTTTAGATAAAGAGTCGCATACTCCAGTACGACTTTATTTCATGTTTAGTCCAAGTATCTCATACTCCAATACATTTTTATTGTAGTTTTAGAAGAAGTATCTCATGCTCCAATACGGCTTTATTTTAAGTTTAGTCTAAGAATCTCTTGCTTTAATACGGCTATATTAAAGTTTTAGTCGAAGAAATCGGCTTTGTTGTAGTTTTTTTTTCGACGAAGCTCATACACCAACACGGCTTCATTGCACGTTTAGTCCATGATACTCTTATACCCCAATACGGCTTTAATGTAGGTTTAGTCGAATAACATCATATTCCAATAGGGCTTGATTGTAGTTTTAGTCGAATAATTTCTTAGTCAAATACGGCTTTATTGTAAGATTAGTTGAAGAATCACATATTCTAGTCCTTGTGTATTGTTTCGTTGGCTGTAAATTTATAATTAGGACGACGTTTTCGAAGACCTTCCATTATCTTCACCACCATTTTTGCGTCATCCATAGCCCGATGCAATTGACCATCCATTGGAATCTCTGGAATATATCATTAAGCCTATATTTAAAATCCATCGCCACAATTACATAATTATCATCACTATCAACACTATACCAATTTCCATCATCATCATTTTCATCATCATAGTCATCTTCATAATAATAATAATCACTTTTATCATAAAGCCGGGCACTCACTGTGACCGACGGTCGTCGATCAAAGTGCGATTCTATAAATGACGCAATGCCACGACGCGCGCAACGGATCATTTTTATTGACGATCCGTTCTGACTGTCATTACGAACTAACAATCAGCAGACGGCGTCGGGTCATAAGGAGTGGAGTTAAATTCGTCGTGCGAAGGTCTATCGACGCAGTGAGTGCCCGACTTTAGAGATATAAATTTATGAATCAACAGAATACGTTTTATAACTTTAATATATAACATAAAATACATCGAAATAAAAACAGTAGTGTTCATACTGAGTACTTTCAACATGCCAGTTAGATTAGTTGATCTCAAATTCTTCCTCTGTTTATGTGGTACGATATCTCTGAAGTGTTTTTTAATGTTGCTGAATTCTATTGCCCACTTCGGATACTCAATCATGGAGAGATTGCATTGATTTCTTATGAACTTGTTGCAATCAAAGATACTATAAAAATAATTACATTATTGATGGTAATAACAAATAGTGATAATGATGTAACAATAAAAATTAAAAATAGTATCATTAGCATATTTATGGTTTAATTTGGAAAGTTATAGTAATGTAAGGATAAACTAAATGAATTGAAAGAGAGGTCACATTTTTGCAGTCCAAAAAAATCTGACTTTTGACAAGATTAACTAGTAAATAATCACTGGAATATTATTCATATATTTCAACTTGGTGATAGTGATACTTAAAACACAAAAATATTATCCAATGCTATATAAGTCATCAGATGCACACATATTATATACACCTTCTAAATACATGCTCAGACATCTTTAATCATACATATGCATGACAGAGTATACACTCAACTCACCCTACATTACCACCTACGCTGGCTATCCCGTAGTCTCGATGGTATTTTTCCTTAGGCTCCTAAAGCAACTGACCCATACCTTTCAGATTTCATCATATTGCTGCAGCAGCAAATTAAAATTTAGAGAAAAAAAATTTACCAACCCGTCAGTGACGAAAGTAAAGTTCTGTTCTGTTGGTTTAAACTGTAACCCGTTTTCTGTCATCCATTTTAACATCTCTCCGTACACATTCGGAAATGGATCAGCTTGGTCGACATCTCTCTGTTACAAGACACAATCAATCAAAAATATTTACTTCTTAAATTTAAAGAGATAAGAAAACGAAGGAGAAAGGGGGTACGGTATACCGTAACAAACTTTATTGTTGATTGTGTATGGTTAAGCATTTCTAAACAAAAACCTCAAAAACAACAATCATTTGTGCATGGTATTGAGTAAGGGTGATGGTAGATATCTCAACACATGGAATGTGGAAGGGGCGATAAAAATTGATGAAAAAAGGGACTATAGGGTAAATAGAATGAGAAAATAACCGACTGTTGGCTGAGAAGGGAATCTTGATTGTGGGAAAAGATTATAAGAATGTAAGGTATCTTGATGGAAACATTTAAATAAAGTAAATATTTTTGGAAATGAATATGTGGGTTGTTGAAAAGAACTTATTTTAAAGGAAAAACAATTTAAAAAAAATAAGAATAAATTTAAAAGAAGCGAAATAAGTTGTGGGCAATTTATAAGAAAACAGATTGCTAAAAATGAATTGTAAGCTAAAAAGAAAATAATGTGAAATTAATGTATTTTAAAGAAATGGGAGAAAGTATGAAGGCAGAGATTGAAAAAACTCAGGATAAAAATGGAAAAGTAATTGAAGCAGGAATAAATGAGTGAATATTATGTTTAACAATAAAACTGAACTCGCCTGTCTTATTTTAGTAAGCCCAAGGCAGAATGGCGTCAATATTTTATTTACATCCGGACAAACAAATTTTTGAAATTCACTGATCTAAAATGTAACAGATGAATATATCATGACAAGGCTATTTACACTTTTTAACGTAAATGCTAGATAGGAAGGAGGTAATGTAACTTAACTGTAAAATTTAATAAGCGCTGTCATTAATTCCATGCTTTATGTTAGCCTATAATATAGTTCGTAAGGTAATTTGCCTATCCTTACAATTCTATTAAACAAAGAATGAACAGATATTTCCAAAATTATAAATCCACTGTAATCATATCGTGTTATAAATTTCTGGAAAATACCAAATGTTATATTTTATAAATTTACTACTATTAATACCACTACTACTACTAATAGGCCTACTTCTACTGTTACTATTAGTGTTTTATTATTAATACAACTTTATTCGAAATAAAATATCACTATTTCAAAACGAAAATTACTGTTATACTTACTTTTTTGAGATTTTGATCCAGCAAAATGGCACCAATTTCAATGATTTCTGGTTCCCAATCTTGTTGAGGATGTGAGACGCACGTAGCCTCCAAGTCGCAGACAAGGTAATATTTCAGGTTACGTTTAATAACCACCTGGAAAACAAAATATCTACATTTTATTACAAGATTTCCAAGACATCGTGTCGTCCAAAAAAATACTTTCTTAGTATTTTCCGAGTAAATCTTCACCTTTCCCCCTGTTTATATTTGGTAAATTGCTTAGCTACCCCTACTTAGCCCCTGGACATAATACCATGTTTAAGCCCTCGATAAGAGAATTTCATGGCCTAAGCCCTGTCAGGACTGCATATTTTATTATTGTGACATGCCTAAATATGGTCATGATATCATCACCTCGAGACCATGCATAGGCACATTTTGAAAATGGGCATACAACTGTTATTTTGTCAAAGCAAATTTGACATTGGGGAAAGAGCATACATTTATATTAAATATGTATAATAGTGGACACTTTTCAGGTAAACTAATAACTGAGCATACATGGTAGACAATTGGCGATGTGGTGAAACTTTGACTACAGACAGAAACTGAATAATCTATTTTACGGTATCTTACTCATAATGTAATGTTTATACACATTGTTTGATCATGATAATTGTAACAATTGTTTACTAGCAATTGAAATTTAATTTGTAGGTCTAATACTAGCGCGAAATGTTGCATGAAGATCGAATAGTTTGATTAAGGGCAAAAGAAAACAAACGATGTAAACTTACCGACGATGCAGAAGCAGTTTTTAAAGTGTAACCTATGGCAGTAAAGGAACGAAAAAGATTGTAGTATTTGAAAACAGTTCTTGATGACTTCGAACTCAGAAGACGCAACATTTTTCTAATAGATGTGATAGCTTTGTATGTGCGATCTAAAGTAACACACCTACCTAATAGACCTATAACATAACGGGTTTTCCCAAATGTTGTCATGACTTCCGTTATTCTAAAAACATTAATGTTTTAAGTCATATTGTTAGAATAGTCCGAGGTTGGCATAATCAAAATAATGTTTAAACTACAGCGTATAGTAAACATGACTGCGAAGTTTGATTCAAGTTAGTTCTTTATTCAAACTAACTTAAAGGGACAGTCGCAAAATATTTTATTTGTGTATTATTATAGTGCTTTGGCCAAGGTTCACTTATCCATCCATGCCGAAATATTATCAAATAGCAGTATTATAGGTTGAATGCTATAGTGAATTAAAAGTTTGTTACTTATTGGCCGAAGAGGGCGTATATGTAAATTAAGTCAATGAACTATGGCGGAATGGTCGGCATGTGGTTTGAACTCGCAACTTATGATTCTTTAATATCTCGGACCTTACCAAAGTTTTAGCTAATAGGCTTTCTCATCGTTCGACCATTTTGTGCAGAAAAGGCTTTGTCAAGTGAAAACCTCTATTTTTTAGCCCCTCCTATCCAATATCAAGCGGGATGTTCTTATTGTAAATGTCGGAAGTGCAGTTATCATTTGGCTTAATGCCCTAACGATAGCGATCTCCAAAGTGACATATTGATGAAGGATTTAATTTATTTTTTGGCATTCTAGACATCTTGCTATTTCTAAGTTCAGCTTTGTACAATGTAAATGTAGGGCTACCCGTTTTTATTAAACAACATGCAATAGCCTTGGTGTAAACTTGAGTACCAACTTTTTTATCTATGATATTTAACACGAACCATGCATGCTTTTGTAGAAAGTCGTCACGTACGTTCTAACAGTTACAGTAATACAACATTTAATCTTCAATATTCCATCAATATTCGATACTTGCTGGCTACAGGAGCACGTACACATTAACAGATTTTTAATATATATTTTTTTTACAGAGACAAAGTAAAGACAATAAATGCGTCACATTTCTACCTTTTAAACTTTATTTTCTTAAAAGTTTTAATGGTCTCATCTTTATTATTCTAATTAAATATTAAAGTTGCTAAAGACCAAGGAAACCCGGTCCCAAAAGTGAACTTTAATTGGAGGGAGACATGTTTGGAAACAATTCTTGAAGACTTCGAACCCAGAAGATACAACTTCTTAATAGACGTGATAAATTGACCATGTTATGTACTGTATGTGCATACGTATTAGGACTATTGAACTCGTTTTCCCAAATGTGGTCGTTTTCCCGTTATTTTGAAAACATTGATGTTTAAAAAAAAAAATCTGCTTAGAATAGTCTGCGGGTGGCATAATCCAAATAACCTTGGAACTGTATATAGTTAACACCAATCTACGAATTCTTTTAATATTCGATTAAAATGTGAGCAAGTCTATGGCTTGAGTCCTATACATGTTAACCTTTAAATACGGCCTACTTTATTTTCGTACTACAAGCTCATAACAGTCTCAAAAGTTTATGCAGAGTATCACGTATCACGTGACTGTTTCTGTATTCCTCCATAATTAGAAGTAAGAAAACTATTTTTTAAAGTTCAATCAATCGATCGATAAATCAATAAATCAAATCAGTCAATCAAACTTAATATCTAAATAATCAGAACAGTACACGCCTGTCCCACAAACCCACGTGAGCATACATACGTTCACGCTGTCGTTTTGTGGGACCTAGGAACCATATCAAAGGGGCGAGAATTAGTAGTAATATCCATTAATTAACCAATTAACCAGCTGATCTATCTTATATAAATAGATTGATTCTTTTATATTCATGTCACCTCATAGCTCTGTCAATTAAGGCTGGGTCGTGCAATAATTGTCAACGATCAAGGAGCCTGGGTCGTACTGTCATTCTCGGCCGTAAGCGAAGCCTTGGTCGTGCTTTCATTTTCAGCCGTAATTGAAGCCTGGGTTGTGCTTTCATTTTCTGGTGTCTTGCCGTCATTCGCAGGCGTCGTGGATGGTTTACGGTGTCCAGATATTCCGCCGCTTCCATGGCCTCCGCCGTGTCCTCTTCCTCCTTCCCTTTCTTTTCCCTCTCCTCTGTGTCCATGTCCCGTTTCACCACTGCCGCTACTACTACCACCACCACCACCTCTCCTTTCATTTCCTCCTTCTCGCCCGGAATACACTTCATAAGCCGAGATCAAGACAAGTACTAGTATTATAAGCACTTTTTGATTCATCGTTTTCTGTTGTAGTACATAAAATATCAATGCTTTAAAACAATACTGTTATTCTACTAATTATTTTATAATTCTTAAGCATTGATCTGACTATGACATTTTATGTGACAAAATCATGTGACATGCCTAAATATGGTCATGATGACATCACATCATGACCATATATAGGCACATCATGTCTATATATGGGAATACGACAATTTTTTGTCAAAGGAAACGTTATACAATTTGGACAGAGCTTAAGGCCTATAGCATGGTTAAATACTGGTAATAGGAATCTTTATGAACATAAATGCAAACGGGGTAGGGCGTACATATAGTAATCAAACTAGAAAATAAAGCTGTACAAGCATCTTAACACAAGGGTACAGTCCTATACAGGAGCGTAAAGACAAGGGCGGTACAAGCCCCACACCCCCAGTTACAGTTTGCGTTCCATTTATTACTTTGTGCCAAAACAAAATTACGCTTAAATAGTTACAAATCATCTTGTATCACATTCTTCAGCCAATGCCCCTCACTTAAAAAAAAAAAAAAAATTCTCCTCCTCATCTCATATTTTTTTTTAAATTCCCTTTTTAGCTTAGGGTCATTTTTACCAGTCTGTTGAAAACCCCTAACGTTTCGCTTGAACCTGGCGCACACTGGCGCACACAAGGATCAGCCGGCGGTTGGATGACTGGATAGAGAGCACAACGCGATGAGGAGACGCGAGGTGCACTCAGGGGGCGACGGATATATTTCAAGTGTCCCCTAATAGAGGAATTATTGTCCCAAAAGAAGGGTTCTTCTGTAGCAACATTAGGCTATACAAAGAATTTAGGACTTACAAGTATGAAAGACATTTTGCTTGGGTCTAAAATTAAACCCGGCGCACACATACGTTTGTCGGTCGGACCACGGTGTGGATAACACAACGTTACGAGGCCAGTGGAGTGTCAAACAGGTCTAAAGCCACTAAGGTTGGGCATAAAAAAAAAACGATCGGAGGGCCAACGCGAAGTTTTAATTTAACACTGTGTGGTTCCAAAAACCTCCAAGCATTGCTTTTACATAACAGTCTTCATTCTCACTTTTAATATTACTTTTTACAGATGATCGCTGTCGGACCGTAAAAAACAAAGTGTTTTCTAGCCAATGTTGCTGGCAGGTCTAACACATAGGGTTTTTATTCATTTTTGAAGGCCGGCCGCAAAAACAATCGTTGTTGGGCCGCATGCGGCCCGCGCGCTGCACTTGGCCCACCTGTGCCCTACAGCCAGTTTCCACTAGGCAAATTAATTCACTCGAATTGAAAGCGTCGGCTCGCTTCATTGCCTGCGAATTTTTTCCGCATTGCAAAAAGTAGAAACAGTTCAAACTACCGATTTTGTTGAGGCGAAAACTTCGATAAAAATGTGAATGCGCATGCGCATGAACGACGTTTTTTGTTTTGCGCGAATAAATTCGCCTAGTAGAGAACCGTTTTTTTAGGCGAATTAATTCGCGCGAATAGAAAGCGTCAGATCGCTTCTTGAGCTCTGATTGCCTGCGCAATTTTTCCGCCTCGCAAAAAGTAGAAACAGTTCGAACTATGGATTTCGCTTAGGCGAAAAATCCGATAAAAATGTGAATCTGCATGCGCATGAACGACGCTTTTGGTTCGCGCGAATAAATTCGCCTAGTGGAAAACTTCTTTGGGCCCTACTAACAACGGAAAATAGGCCCACTCTCTTCGGCAAATCTGACGTTTTAAAAAATATTCCGATAGTCTTTTTACACGTTGGTGTTCGGCCAAGTATGGGGAAAAATGCTGAACACCCTTTAATTGGCTGGGGCCCCTGGCTTTAGCTAGTGAGAGCTCATATGTGTTAAAAATGCCACACTAGACGAGGCGACGCGCGCTAGTCGTTCCGTTCCGTTCGTTTGTCGGATTTGTCGCCAACGGTCTGTCAACCGCCGTCTGACGTAGTGTGCATGCTCCGGGCAGTGTTTATAGCTTACCGTTTGATTGTTCTACCTTCAAAAGTCACTTCCTACCTCCAAATGTCAGAAATGGTCCGTTGATATGATATGAATTAAAGCCAGTAGGTCTCCATTATATAGCCCTATGTCTTGTTCACCTTAATTAATTAATTAATTAATTAATAATAATTATACTACTACACATCTGTAGCATGTATCACCTGTAGCCGATAGCCTTGTGGTGATTAATATTGACACGATTAGACATATTTAATATTACGTAAGCCCAGTTTATACATTGCTACACTTATTTACATAAATCAATAAAAATGAGTTTCGTGTTACAAGCTTCTCAAACGGATGCAATATATACAAGGACTTTTGACTGTTGAAAACCCTTGATATAATGATTGACACAGGCATTATGAGAAAATAATGGCAGTAATTAAACAGTAAAATGAAAATTTTAAAGCTGTTTAGAGAAAATTGGCTTTATTATGAAATATATTATTTTGATATACATTTATATATTTTTTTATTATAAGAAGCCATTATTACTTATCTTTTTTATTATGATAGGTAGGGACTAATAGTGTTTTTTTTTAATTCACAGACTCCATTATTATACTGTAATACAGATTATTATTTTATACTACATTGTACATCAAAGGACGTAGATAAAAGAGGCGAGGTTTTCAAGCCAAAACAAAACGTTTTAAAAAAAAATATAGTAATTGACGGATGTCTTTGATTTAACTGATAGGCCTATCTGGAGAGACATGAATCCATCACATTTTACATCACATGGAGTCCTAGTAGAAAGAATATATCAAGCAAGTATTACTCGCGAGAGTATGCGTATTCGTTCGACAACTGTAGGCCTCTTTTTTGTCCCTAAACCTAAATTACAGTATTTTAAAATGTCATTTTATTACAGAGCCACCTCCTTCCTTAACACTCTTCCTTTTAAATGCAATATATCTTATTCTAATTTTAAAACCAAGTTAAAATTATATCTCAGAGAAAAGCAATAAAATTCTGATTTTATCCATCACCTTGTAATTTTATAATGAATTTTAAAGTTTATTGTATATTTAATGAATGTTATATTAATGAATATTTATTCAATATTTTATTTATTATATTGTTTTTGAACTTTGCCGTAATGAAGCTTTTACTTACTTGGATTCTTAATGTATTGTATATATTTTTATGTATTGTTTTTCTTTCGAGGGCCTCTTCAAGTCAGCTGTACTACTGTAGTGCAGCTGTTAGAGCTACCCTCGTGAAATAAAGTTGAAATAAATAAATAAATAAAAAAGTTTCTTTGTAAGGCTGGAAATTTACTTTTGAATGAAATTGAATTCTTGAAAAGTGCAAATAAACTAGTAAAATGTGTACATGGCAATATGTTAAATTAGAAACATTACTGTATTTATCAAACCATAAATGTCCTCTCTCATGTTTAAGATATTGCTCTTGTTGTACTGTATGTGCTATGATATCTTAGTATTTGTTACAATGTTTTATATGGACAGGTGGTCTGACTTTAAAGATATTATGTTAACTTATATATACAGCGAGTTAATGTAATTCCAGTATTATCATTGTTTAAAGTAAAAAAAAATGGGAAAATTATTTTCTAATAAAATACAGCACTTGCATTTTATTAGGGAAAGTGTCAATCTTTAATTCCCAATGTATTTTGTTTAATTATTATTTAGGCCTATCTAATTTATAACTACATATTTTATATCAACTGACTTGTCCTGTATTAATTCAAGTTATATTGCATTATATGCCCTATTTCTCGTTTTGTACTTATTATGTTATTGTTCAATGTGTCATGAAATGAGTATAAAAAAAATGTTTTTAATGTAATTCGTGTTATGGTTCTCGCATTAATTTACCAAGCTTTTCCTAAACTAATATGGAACATCTTTTAACAATTAACCAATCATTATATTTGTCTTTCTTTGATTGTGTTTCTTGTAGTGACGTGGGGGGTGTCTGATGGGGTGTCAAATGTTAAGTGAAGAGGGGATCCATGATCAGGTAAGGGGCTTACCTATAGCAAGATTAGGTAATTTTAGGTGATTTTTAAATGCGTGAGCGATTAGTGCGCTTTTTTTCTTTTTCTCTTTTTTTTTTCTTTTTGCTCAGCGCCTTCCTCAGCCTTTCTCTTGTGGCATCTCTTTTTGTCATACTATTTTCAACTTCAATTTGATTCAGCATATTTTTATGAAAATTTCAATAAAGTTTGTCATTCGTATTTCATTTTCCATCATCTAACAGCATTGTGCGTTTTCTTTTTACTCCTCCTTTGCATTCTTCCCGTACAACCGCATGTATTCGGCTTTAGTCACTAGGGCAAAGGATGTGCAAAAACACATGCCAAACAGTGAATTTAATCACTCTTAGTGGCAATCCCGTCAAAGACATCCATACACACAAGATGCTCTACATAGACTAAGTCTGTTTATGAGGCTTAGAGTGAAGTTTTTTGTTTTGTTTTGGTCGTAAGAAAACTTCCTGTTACCGTGACAGAAATGAAACCCAGGACCCCGGCACTGGAAAGCAAGCACCCTAACCACCACGCTATTCAACTCTCCTCCATTTATCGCCTCCTGTATGCCCACGCCTCTCTACAACTGTTCCATATGTAGAAACCGAAAATCATATATTTAATTACTTTTTTTTAAAGAGAATATACGAGAGATCGCTTCAGTGACATAATGAACAAGGGTGTATTTATTGATATCATTATATATTTATTAAACATCTATGGAAGAATCCCCCCACTCTCTACTGCCGTGGCTCAGAGGGGCGCCTGCTTCGCCGGTCATTGCCCCCGGACTGAGTATCCAATGATTTCTGATGTTCAGCTGTGGAAATTGTCATGTTCAAGGGGAGAGCATAGACTACTAACTTATCCTGACAAAATTGCAAGAGACACTGGTATTAGACCGGAGGCGTTTGAGCTAGCAATGACTGATAGAACGCTGTGGCGTGTCCGAGTGTCGTCTATCTTGACCACGGTAGATGGATGATAATTGAACTTTCTTTACAGGGTGACCCAAAACAATGGTGTGTTGACAATCAACCATCAAATATATGTTGCATGTTCTCGGTGTTATTCTAGTAGTACAGAGTTTCCAAACTTAAACTTCATTGTACAAATGTTTCACTGTACTATTCACAAATAGCGCCCTCATCTATAAACATGGTGTGATGGTAAATCTTACTATAACTATTATAATAGCCGCCCTCTATTCTGTTTGCATTTTAAAACCTAGAGATATTATTCTTATTGTAGCTCTATGAACAAAATGATAGGCACACTTTAACTTAAATTTGAGCTTTGCTTTGTTTCCCGTCAAATATCTTATAGTTGTTAAGTGCAAAATAGTACTGTAACGATACTTCTATAGTCTACGGCAGCTCTCTTGTCGTATCGATACACAACTTCGGATTCTGGAACATTGCATGCACTGAACTTAGCACTCTAGTATTCTTATAGCAGGAACTTTTCGAAGTCATGACAAAAACGTTACACGTCTTAATCTGCATACTTGGTTCTGCCCACTTTACAATCTGCATGCGTAATTACGCTGACAAGTTGCTTTTGTTCTGTTCAGGTTCAGGAAGTTAGAGTATGATTGGCTTAGTAACTCTGAAAGAAGTGGCAACCAAATGCAGCAGATGTTCTCATCTGGCTGCAAATAAGTGTATGTGTATCCATAAGTTCAGAACGATATTATTATGTGCTCTCTTCCCTTCTATAGGGCCTACGTTTTGCTTCAACCAAAATATCTTTCATGTGTATGTAGTAATCAGGGAACAGTGTAATTTCACTGTTCCCTGGTAGTAATAGAATTACCGTACATGTATAAAAGGAAAGAACAATGTCCCAAACAGAAATACTATTTTATGCTACCACAGTAGCTATGGGTGCTATGATAATGTAGGGAAAATAGATTATCTTTATTATTGACCTATAATTTATCGCCGTGCAAGGAGTCTTGCATAAATGATTCGTTTTAACATTAAGCCATAGACAAAGTTAATCTATTATCAAATTACAAATTAAGAGACGCTTACTATATAATTTCAAAACAAAATTTAATGACAAGAAAGATTGACGCTTCGGGTCCATCATGGAACCATTCTCAAGATCAAGTAAATTAAAAAAAAAATTGAAAAAACAAAAAACAAAAATACAAAGCAGTGACAGAAAGTAAGTAATTGATTTACATATCAATAGGGCCTAATGCGTGGAGCCATTAGTGGAGCTAAGCAATAATTAGCCCTTCATAGCAGATTAACTAGATAAACAGTTTGGCTTTGACGGAATCAGTTTGTTTGTTAAATGTAGGTTCCAGTTCTTTGATATTACTGCTTCTGAAACTGTTAATTATTTCAAAGTTTTATCTAAGTGCAAATCCAAGTTTGATTGCTTAATCAAAGAAATGCTTTGGAACAAATAAATATATTCTAAGTATACCTTTTTTAAGCACTTCTCTTGAATACATGTCAAAGCGCGGATCCGTAGTTTACCCTGCCTATCTCACAAATGGGTTCATGATGGAAGGGGTCATAAGAAGAGAGCTAGTTTTGTCTGTTGCTGGAAGACAAATTTTAGCTATGGGGTGGATGAATATTTGGCCCCTCCTTCGAAAAGTTGTTGTTTTCATAGATGCTTTATGAGACGTCTATTATTATAGATATTACTAGATTATTAGATTATTAATATTACTATATTATTATAGTTTTTCCCTATTTACTATGGATAATTAATAATTATGATGATGAAGATGAGGAGGATGATGAGGAGGAGGAGGAGGAGAAGGAGGAGGATGAGGAAGCTAGGTAATGACAGGCTCCTATGAAAGAATAATATACAGGCACTTTGATGTGAAGTGTCAAGTGAGGCCCGTAGCATGAGTTACGGTTGGAAATTTGTTGACATTATCGTCGTCATCAAATTCAATGCACACAGTCGGACAATATAGTTACATGATATATGATGTCTCTTTTTGTATAGAAAGTAATATGAAACCCATAAAATATCAGTTCAGGCATTCATTATTCTGTCTGTGTGGAAATATAACAATAAAATAAAAACATGTAAAAACATCTACACATTTATCTACAGTTTTAGTGTTGGAGGGGCTCCGAAGGCTTTAACGTATAACCAATACCCCCGTATTTTTTTATAGATTATTGAATAATATGTAAAATATTTTATATTCGGCACATTCTCAAATGTCATGTAAATCTCATATCCCAAGAATTACATTATATTCATGCACCCAATTGGAAAGTTTAACCTAATAAATTAGTTTTAAATATGTTTTACGTTGTTTGTTAAGAGGTCTTTAATGATAGGCCTATTACAGTCTTTGACCACAACATAACGAAGTCTTTTCTTTTAACTTGTAAACTTCTAAACTTTTGCGTAAACATTTATATTTCCTTAAATCATAAGGAAGTCTACTCATTAAATTATCTTAGATAGTACAGAGAATTTTGATTGACTGTCAATCTCAGATATCCATATTTTAGGAAATATTACGTTTTATCCATATGCACCGACGTGAGAACTTTAACCTAATAACTGTTATATGTATGTTGTTTGTTGAATATACTTCTTTAACAATAATATTACATTCTAATATGACCACAACGTAAGGAAGTCCACTTCCTGCTTAGCATAATATAGTACTGAGAATTTGGAATGTTTATTAATACCATTATACACATGCTAGATCAAAATTGAAAGACATTACGTTTTATGCATTTAGCGACGAGGAAAGTTTAAACATAATAATTTTGATATGTACATGTTTTATGTGATGTGTTGTTTGGTCTATTAAAGTTTAAAATAAATTCATATTATAACAACTTGGTCATAATATAACTTATTCTTAAAGGAAGCAGAATAATACAATTATTTTAACAACTGTACTCTGACCAAAACCAAACTTGATTGGTGTGATTTTACTTCCACCGGGTAATTAATTAAATATGCATAATTGTCTTTTGTAATTTTGAAATAACAAAATATAATGAAATATACATGCCTTCCAATCAGGTTATAAAGAATTCACGCACGTGTAATTCTCTCTGTTATTTTTTTTTTTATTAACCATACATCGTGACATATAAATCAAAATAAAATAAATTAAATTAAAACTCAATAGTACATCGCATAGCAAATTTACTTACAATCCCTTATAATTTTCAGACAATGCACTACATTTTTCTCTATATTATTGTCTTTGGTTGAGGTAGGTGGCATTTCTGACAGAAAGATTTAAAGTTTTCCAGACCACCTGGTACTGCAATCACTTTATATATATATATATATATATATTTTTTTAATATCAGTTTTATCTTTCATTCTGACCTTTAATCATTATGCCTGCATGTATTGATTGAAAAAAAACATGAAAAAACAAAACATCATTGGAATTTGTGTATACAATGGAAAGTAGCAAATGTTACCAGGGGCCTCAGTAGCTCAACCGGGGGCCCTTGACTGTCCCGTGCCCAGACTCGCAACCTGACCTTTTTATTTCTCGTGGTTACGGGCCTGCAAAATGTTCCAGAGGGAGGTTTCTTGTCATCAAAGTACGGTTTCTTGGCGGGCGTGTTTAGTGATTGGTGATTGGTGATTGTATCATACAATGTACCAGAGTGGAGTGGAGTGGTTCCATAACTTGAACTTATAAGTATTAAGTGACTCGTGCAAGAAACAGAAAAGACAATGTTCCGGGTTCTAATACCGGTATCTAATATTATATAATTTCGACGAACCAACTGCGAAGTCACAAACATGCAACACTACCACGTGCAAGAAAACTGTGTGCGCGTGTGGGCTTGCGCGCATATTTGTGTGAGACTATTTAGAAAGGAGTTTTCCTGCGGTTATTTTTTTTTTAAAGTTACGTAAGTTTTCACAACTTTAACTGCTTCTTACCAAATACTTGACAAAAGAAACATTAGTCAAACACTCTTATTTTTCCATTTATTAACAAAAATGCAGATAATTACTTAATACTTGGAATGTATTAATGCTGTGGTATATAACTTTCTTCTTTCGGTCACTTACAGCACGCTGTGATGTGCAGATCTCCGACCCAATTCCTGTGCTTACCGCAGCTTTCATGGCACTGGATCTTACTATCTCCAAACGTGGCCTCTTTGATGTAAGTTGTAGTGGCCGTATATTGCTTTATAGCACGCATATGGCCTGCGGAACGACTAAATCCAGATGGACATGGACCATTTGCCAGAATACAGTAATGACCTAAGGGCCATTTTCCTGTAAAATATATATGTAAATACATTAATAAGTAAAAAGGTCACCTTTTTTGTCTAAAATGAAGCTTAACAAACCGATCAGAAAATCGGACCTGGCGTATAAGGTTTGAAACGCAGGCATTAAGCGCACTGGAAACGCTCTCTTGGTTCGGGTCCGATGTGAATGCACCCAGTAGCTTCTAAATATGAATATTGTTTAGCTTTTGGAAATCACACCATTTACAACAAAACGAAATGGGCAAAAAACCTCTAAAACCTCGTCGTCGAAAATTTTCAATCGATTATTGCAAATATTTTTAGTGTAATGTAGGGCAAAGTATCGGAAATGAACTCAAAATTTGAATATTATTTCATAAGCATCGCTGTTTCCAGCATTTCTGTATTGGATAAACATTATCGTCAGACAATCTGTATAAAAGGCAATCACTCAAAGTGTTTCTAGTGCACTGTGATTCCGAGAGATCTTTTCGACAAACACATGCCAAAGCTTACATTAATAACTTTTTATATAGGCCTATCAGTTGAATTTTAAGTTTCATAATTGTTAATACTGTCAGTAAAGTTTCAATTTTATCTACTAGTACATGATTCGGTTAGTCTTACTTTATTTGGGAAAGTGCAGCTGTAGTTATATTGTTAAGGCCATCTCAGACAGCGTCGTACGACGCATCCAGACGCGATTTTTTTTGTCGCGTCGGATATGTGTGAGTTGAACGCAGACGCGATGGTTTGCGTCGGAGGCACTCATCTCTACTATGATAGTGGATTACTTATTGGCCAATCATTGTACAAAAAAAGTGACGCCACCGACGCCATATTTGAGGGCCTAAGTGTTGTAGCAGTTTAAAAAATTATATTTTGGCATTTGTTAAATTATTGTTAAAAATAACGATTCTTGCAATCGCGTCGTAGAATATTAAACATGATTAAAATTTCCCACGATAGCTTAAGAATGTCCCCGACGATAAATCGCGTCGGTCTGCGTATGACGACGCTGCCTGAGTTTGCCTTAAAAGAAACTTATGAAATATTATTCGTAAATGTCTGTCTGTGAGCTTTTATAAGTCCAAATATATCTTTGTTTAGGTATGGTAGCCACTGTGTTTTAGAGAAGATTTTCTTTTAAAAGACATTAAACTATGTAAATATTTTTAAGCAAGAAAATGTTTATAGTTAATTAAATTCATATGTAATATATACTTAATATTAGAAACTATAATTATCTGTTTCCTGTCTTATTGTACAAACTGTTGGTATTTAGATTTTAAAATACCCTCTTGTGAAATGGTGCCTATTCCACACGCTGTATTAGCACTCCTGTAAAATGCAGTCAATAGACTGGGTTGGGTTCACGGATCTAGCTGAGAACTATAAAACCCTTCTTCATAGCCCTAAACTTATTTAGATGGTGTTAACTATTATTTATTAAGTTATATCTGTTTTTCTTCCAAACCAGTGATTTTTTTTTTATCTCGTTAAGGTTGCTGATTATTTGTTAAGAGAACTTTTTCTATGTTTATGTAAGACTAGGCCTACGTTCTAAACAGTTGATTAAATTTGAATGATGTAATTAATTTAGGGGTGTTTTTTCTACTTCTCAGTCCCAGTAACAGTATTATCTTATTGTTATCGGATATTACCCCAACAAGGGTCAAGGAATTGGTTCGAATGGTCTTTAGTCCGAAGGGTCTATGATCCGAAGGTCCATTGGTCCGAAGTAAATATATTTCAAATATATAGAAAATATAATTGAAAAAAAAAACACATTGGGGACTACCATTGCATACAATTATTGCTTGTTGAATGAAAAACCGAGAATATATATGGAGAAAAGCATATGCCTAGATCACATAATATATAATTTGTAAACGTTGATCGTATAAAAGAGAAGGATCTTACTTTAAATACGCAATGTATCATGTAAAATGAAGAATCACTCAAGAAAGCAGATAACGAGGATTTATTTATATATTTATTTATATATTTATTTTTTGATGAGGCTTTACTACTTACTAATTTCTTATAAGCAAAAACTGGCGGCGATTAATACACGATTTCAAAATGTATATCTTACATTCCTGGAAAACCAGGTCACTAAAATTTTCGATTTTCTGACCAACGGACTTTCGGACCAAAGACGTTAGCAACGAATGTATGTTGTGTCAATGGCGATCGACTTCCCTTTTGTGCCTTGCGTAAAGTTCGGTGCAGTTTATTCAGCAATCTTCTTTACAAAAAACTATGAATACACAACCTCCTCTACACGGACGATAAACTGTGATAAGCGTTATGTTACTTTTATCTTTTCCAACTTACCAATGGACTGTTGTAGATCGGATTTGACACTCTCCAACAGAGAAGCCTGGCCCTCAAGATAGCTGGCTAATGCAGGTAAGCACTGGGGTATCTGTTAAAGAGCATGACACAACTTTTCGATATTGCGTATAAAGCAACCTTGAGAAGTTTTGTTTGCAATTTTGTACATTGAAACCAAATTATAATCGATTCTTTACAGCTTGACCTATTGTAAGGTTTTCCTATGATAACAAATTAATCGTTTTTTAAAAAGTATTGATGACCTTCGAAACGTACCACCTGCACAAAAAATCAGCAAAATTCAACCTAGTATATCGCAGTGAAAAATTTAAGGTAAGTTGCTTAAATATTTTAGTCACCTTATGAGATTTGTAAGTTAACAATAATTCCTTATAATGTCTACAATAAGGAGAGAGATTGACGCAGAAAATTGAAGCAGTGAGAACTAAATTAAAATTAGGCAAAAATAACTATTCACTCAAAGAAAAATCCATTGCTGATATTAAAAATTCTAGTATACTTACTTGGGCTTCACTTGGATTAGCCAAGAAATAGGCCAGAATAGAGAGGATGAAAAAGACGTTCATAATATCTCAACAGGAAGAATTTTACGGAAACGAACTTGGTAGATTAAGAAAAGCAAATGACGCATCATAAAACATAGTTCATATATTATTCTCTATATGAAAATAAGGTCGTAGTCTGAACCGCGCATGCTCGTATCAAGTTCAATTTACATAAACAAAATACAATTAAACAAAAATATTTATGTTGATTGACATTGAATATCACTGGATACGAAAATGAGCAGTTCAAAACACGAACTGGCTTATTGTCAATACAATAATTGTTCATTCGCTGCCCCTCGTCACATGAAGTTTAGTCACGCATTTTTTGGCGTTCTTTATTTATTTGCAAATTGGATTATCACTACTGAACTTCCAATAATTAAAAAATACGATAAATTAAATAATACTTTAAAAAGTGACATTGTAGAATACAATGTTACTATATCAGGGGAGTATAGCGGAGGGGTATTCAGGTATTAGTCTAATACCTTCAAAATTTCAATAATATGCTTTCCTTATTTCGACAAATTAACGAAAACAGCGACATTTAGTATTATTACGGAGATTTTACATTATAAGTGACACAATTTGCCTTCCATAGGAGAGGTATTAAAATTGTCAAATAATTACCTCTTTTTGTCAAAGAAACACATATGAGGTAGGCGAATCGCAGAGAAAATATTAATCGTTGCGAAAATAGCAATGAAGGTATTAAAATGTGCTAGGAGTATGGAAGGCATCTAACAAAAATGTTATTATTGCTTTTTTTGAAATCCGATTGCAAAACCGTACGTATGCGCTCCTAGCTAGGGCTAAGTCGGCATGTAAACACTATTATATTCTCAATGATTTTATGGCAATGACGATCTATCAAGACCTTAGCCTTATAGGCCTTAGCCTTATGGCCTATTATTAATTATTCAAACAAACTGCTTATATTGCCATTTTATTCAATACAGACCTAGGCCCTCCCTAACACCTAAGCCTAGAGACTTAAGGTAAACTTAGGCATAGGGAGATTTGGCGCTGCAGTTGACCTATTTTAAAATACAGATTTGTATTGTTTTACGACATTCATTTAGATAATAATAATCCCTGCAGTAGTTAAATAAATCACTACCCTACTCCCCACTGAGTGTGATATATTCAGTAAGACAAAGTTGTATGTATATATGTATGTATGTATGTATGTATGTATGTATGTATGTATGTATGTGTGTGTGTATGTGTGTGTGTGTGTGTGTGTCTGTGTTCGTGTGCGTGTGCGTGTGTGGGAGTGTGTGTGTGTGTGTGTGTGTATGTATGTATGTATGTTATGTTTGGTTATGAACGTGACAAAAATGATAGACAGGGGAAACTTAAAATTAGATAGCATAAAGTCATGTTTAATTATGTTAAGAAAAAATATTTAAGAGAACGAATTAATAACTTTAGAAAGAGAGAATCACAGGGTAAAATTTTTTAAACTGTGGGAATCGTTCATAAATTGTCTAACAGTCACCTGTGTAATATGAAATTAACAGATAAGCTGGTATCGTTTGCAGTCAAAGGTAGAATGCAGTTATTACAATGCCACTCGTTGCTAAATCTTTACTACCCAAATGCTTATGAAAAAAAGTGAAAACTTTGTAATATCCGATACGAAACCGTGTCTCATGTATTAAATGGATGTATGAATCTTAGAAAACACCATATTGCCCGTCATGATCGAATAGTTAATTATATTGTCAGAGAATACTGTAAGATTAAATTAGATAAAGTACAAGTGTTTGAGAACCAAATGGTAAAAAGTAATAAGTTTGGTCTTGATGATGATAACCAATTGCAGGCAATAGAACACAGAAAACCTAAATAATTGATAACAATCAAAATAGATGTTACATAGTAGAAATCTCGACACCGTACGGTGCATTCCTTGACGAATGTTATAACACGAAAGTAGCATATTATGTTCCAATTAGGGATATTATTGAAACTACAGGATATAAATATGAAGTAATAGCTTGCATAGACGATTTTGGCCAGGGTTGAGAACCCTGGGGTTTAACAAGAAATGTGTGTAAACAAATATGTCGATATTGCAGTGTAATCGCTATGATTGGTTCATGGTATACTTGGCGAAGAAGGTGTATGGCCATTGATAATTAAATATTGGAACAGAAAATTGTGAACATTGAAAGTATAAGTGCTTTATGTTATGATTTGCTTAAGTGTGGGTAATCCGAGTTGGTGGATCCCCAACATGTATAAATGGAAAAGAGCAAATAATCTTTTATACATTTTTTATTTAAACCATATTTAACGAGGGTGATCCTTGCAGCTAAGCCAAGAAGATCAGCTGATATTC